AGGTGTGATTTTAGTTCAGCATCACTAAAGTCAGCACGAGTGCTAGCAAAGACAATTAAAAAAATGCTTCTTGCCTGTAAAAGTTTATTTAATTCTGGGAATTGATACAAACGTCATGAAAAAAAGTGTTTTACTTATACATGTAAAGGTGGACATCCACAGTGACCAAGTGCAAGGTGCTGCACCTGGGTCGGAGCAATCCCAAGCTTGCAGATGCAGGCTGCAGATGCATGGCTAGAGAGCAGCTCTGAGGAGAAGGATTAGGGCATGTTGATGACAGACATAACATGAGTTGACAATGTGTGCCCGCAGCCCAGAGGGATGGGTTGCATCAAGAGAAGATGCATTGAGAACAGCAGGTTGAGGGAGGTGATTCTGCCCATCTACTCTGCTCTCACGAGACCCCACCTGGAGTACTGCGTTCAGTTCTGGGACCCCCAGCACAAGAAGGACATGGAGCTGTTGGAGCACATCCAGAGGAGGGCCACAAAAATGATGAGAGGGCTGGAGCACCTCCTCTAACTAGGCAGGCTGAGAGAGCTGGGGCTTTTCAGCCTGGGAACAGAAGGCTCTGGGAGCACCTTACAGCAGTCTTCCAGTACCTGAACAGGGCCTAGAGGAAACCTGGAGAGGGACGTTTTAAAGGGGCAAGTATCAACAGGATGGGCTTTAAATTGGAAGAGGGTAGATTTAGACTAGATATTAGGAAGAAATTCTTTACTGTGAGGGTGGTGAGACGCTGGAACAGGTTGCTTAGAGAAGCTGTGGATGTCCCCTTCCTGGAGGGACTCAAGACCAAGCTGGCTGGGGCTTTGAGCAACCTGGTCTAGTGGGAGGTGTCCCTGCCTATAGCAGGGGGGTTGGAACTAGATGGTCTTAAATGTTCCCTTCCAACCCAAACCATTCTAGGATTCTGTGATTCAGTGGTCAGCTATGATCACATTGTGTCAAAAAGACACGTGTCTTGGACCAGGTCATATCATGGGAAAAGGGACTGAAGGAAAAAGCATAATTAGCATCATTGGCAAAAGTACACCTAGTAAAAGCTGCATCTCCTAGGGAAGAATTCAGCAGTAGGATGACATCAACACACGGTTTAAGGAGGAAGATGGGCCTTGGATGATGTCTTGCTATCAAACAACTCCACAGACCTCAGGTACTGGAGAATCTGCAAAAGTTTTAGATGTTAAAATGCGATTATTTTGTGGCAAGTTTTAGGCATCCAAGCTTGATCAGTATGATCTGAATAGCCAGAGTCCTAATTTTGTCCACAGTGTATAGTCTGAGATACTTAAAGTATGTTCATGATATCACAATAAATAAATGTATTGGAAACTGAGCCCTACCCTGTGTGTGTGTGTGAGTGGCAGAGATGAGAGATTAAGAGATACTTTTCCTTGTAAGTGTGAAGGAAATCTACCAAAAAACTGCTTCACATAAACATCATGTTAAACCCTACTGCTGTCAGGGCTAATTGAAATTTACAGCATTGGTACTTGCAGTATTAACCGAGGAACTGTCGAGCTTCATTATTTCCAGTGGAATCTGACAGCCTTGTCTTAACATTATGGTGTGTCAGTCTCTTTTCTCTTGATGACAAAGAAATACCATCTGCATTTCCTCACTCTATAACGCTAAAGAGATATGAAAACAATTGCTATGGTCAGTATTTCACTGTGATGGTCCAGTCACTGCTGTTGTCAGGAATACAAACACAAATACCTAAATGCTTATGAATGCTACAATTTTCACTTAGTAGAAACTGCACAACTGGTAACAATTTTAATTAAAATAGTACCTAGAAGAGTCCTTTCTTCTTTTGTTTATAAGTGACTGGTAGGGCTAATGCTAGCAAATTACAGACGAAGTAAAGGAATATTTCATCCTCAGGGATTTGTGTTCACCAGAAGTTTGTGTATGAAGTGGAGATTGTCTCCAGTACAACCCCCCTCTACTGTATCAGGTTCTGAAGTTCTGTCTGCAGGGTAGTCAAACACAAACTTCCTGCTGTGGATTTTAAACCCACTACTGGTCTCCACTGGCATCAGTGACAGCCCTGCCTTGCTGAGATGTTTATAGGGAAGATGCTCTTTGGTAAAAAGAAGTGAAAATTTAACCATGTAAGCCAAAATCAATCCAAAACAAATGCTCAAATTCAGGAAGTTGCACTATAATTCTGACATTCCACTCAAAATTACATTGGCAGTTATCAGCCCCTGAAGGCCTGAGCAGGGACTCTGGTCCCATTGAATGGACAGTCTAAAGCCTATAATCCATTCTCCCCTAAAAGACGTAACTTGAGGCAGCATTACATATGCAAAATGCCACTACCCACAAACGCTTGTCACATTATTTAAGGAACTTTGTCCAAAATTACAGAAGCAGCAGCCGTATTTTCTCAGTGAGAATCCAAGTACTAAGATTTTTCACCTGAAAGCCCATGCACAGATCTGGCTCACAGGATATAGCCTTTTGGAAAAAATAAAATTCCACTTCTCATCCACAATGCTTGCAACAGAGAAAGCTTGTTGCAGAGAAACTTAGAATGGAGCAGGGTATCTACTAACAGTGCCAACCAGTTAAGCCAAAATAAAGAGGTTTCACTACCGCTGCTTCTTTCTCTCCTCTTCTGTTCTGTTGTTACTTCGCTCAAATCATTTTTCTCCAGTGTCAAATTGCAGTTGAGCGGGTCAACATCAAAACATTGCAAGAATTAAATTCAGTCATAGTCAGGATTGGTTCCAGCAAGTAATATTCATCTCTAACTAAGACTTGTCAAGGCAGCACTAGATCCTCACAATGTGAGGCTAGACTTAGAGACTTGAGGCTTAGAGACGTGAACTTCTGAGCACAATAACTGCTACAAAATGATTATCATCATCTATGGACTTACAAAACACAGAGATCTTCAATGCAGCTGTCTGTACATGTGTGTATAAAGCATCATAAACTAGCAGACCAATTTACCACCATTCCATCAGATTACCTGAGGTAATTGTTAGCTGCAAGCTGTTCATTTTTATTATTATTATGCTCAACAAAGCAAAGCCTAATTAAGGTATTAATTTGAACATACATAGGCTAGCATCTATTCTCACATTCAATACACAAATGGCTAAAAGAATTAAAATCACTTATGTGATCATAAGTACAACAGACCTCATGTCTCTCTTCATAAATATTCAGAATTTGTATGCTTTCAGACACTCAAAACATTCTTAACAAAAATGGTTAAAGGGTCAATGAGGACAAAAGATCATTACAAGTTTGGTGAAGCTGAGACGAAGAGTATTTTTCTTGGTCTTCTCCCATCGCTATTCTTTTAACTCAAGTAAAAGCATGAAAGCAAAGGTTCACCCATCTAGATCCTATTGACATAAGCTCCCTATAACTACAGTGCTAATTGATAAAATCCAAAGTAAATTCTCTAATTAGAATGATGAAAACAACATGGCACATTCAGCCTAATCTATTGATCCTCCCTACCTGCAGACAGATAGTATTCAGAACTATGCAGAATTATCTGCTTAACATTCAGGTCCTTGTGACAGGAGAAACCAGGAGAAGATAAAAGTTAATCATTTTTTCAAAAAGTGCATAGTAAATGGAAGTTCTATTCAACAAGGAAAAATACATTCATTTATATATATATATACTTATATATATATATATATTAAACAGAATTCTAGTTTATTTTCCCCCACACAAAGTCTGCACAGACTGTAGAATTTTGCTGGAAGAAGATAGGGAAGGAAGAACCCACAAAAAAATTCACTAAGAGACTGAAATTTATTAGATGGATATAAAGAAAATCCACCTATATACTAACTAATTATAAAAATCTTAGAGTTGCTAAGCCTTGTTCATAAAAACTTAATGATTTGAGAGTAAGGATGACCTTAGTGTTGCCCATTGTTGTGTTCTAACTGCAGGCTTGAGATCTAGAAAAGTAATTTCTGTATTTCTTATTTGGCAGAAAGATTCAAGGTCATTCGCACACTTTCACACAAGCACATCCTTTTGACAATAGTAAAGTAATTAACAGCATTTGAAAACTACCTGGAAGACAGGCTTTACTGGCACATGCCTAATAACATCTTTTGCATCTGTTGGAAATATTTTTCAGGACATATTCAGCTTTGAAACAAATTGCAGTGTTATAATTATTAGCTAATATTTAACAGCTAATTTGTTCACTGTAAACTACAGTGTTTAATAATAATTAAAAAAAAAGCACACAAAACATGATAAAGTAGTGCTTCTTAAGTATCCGTGTATTTCTGCAGTGTTCACTTGTAGTGTTTCCCTTTCTCCATTAATAATTTAGTAAACGCTGATATATCAGTAGGTTATAGTGAAAAAACCCTCACATGCTCAGGCTGGCAATTTCATTTTGTTAAAAGCAAGAAGTCCAGGCAGAGGATGAAGTCTATTTGCACTTGAAACAACAGAACAATTGGTTTGGAAAATAGAGCTTAATGTGTGAGCTGGCAGCTGCCCAAGTATCCCAGAAAGATATTCATTTTCTTTGCACGAAGACTTCCCGGTCTCTTCCTGAACGCACTGTTTATTGTGACAAGCAAAAGCTGCACAATCTAACCTCTCACCAGGTCTGATGATCCTTTGTAAGAAACAATTCTCACCTGAAAGGCCAGAAATAAGGGAATGCTTGTGCTGTCCGCAAGATATAATGCTTGATCATGGGCATAAATTGGTTGGGAGGTATATTGTCATTTAATGCATTTTACATACTTGTCTGCAACAACCATCCTCCATTTCCCTTTCACCCTCTTTCTTTTCTCATTTGAGTGTCCACATTCCAGTGTGTTTCTGATATCTGACTTTTGACAGGAGTTTAAGCAAAACACTGTTTCTAGTTTTCCCTACCAGTGAATCTGGTTGATTTGCTAATGGGTATTCCAGTGATTTATATTTAATTCAGTTTCTATATTACTGACTTTCTGAAATATTACTATTTGTCATAAACTCACCTATTTTCTGTTCACACATCCACTTCCAGTACTGTCTTCTGAAAGCAAGGTATTAAGCTGAAAAAAATACCATACATGTTCATTGTCATGCACCTTAATCCATAAGAAGCCATTTCCCAATTAAAAAATAACAACAACAAAACCTGTGTAAAAGTGTTAGAGATGCTATTTGACTTCCAGTTAGCTTGGCCTGGCTGGAAGTCAATATGTCTAATATGACACTGACAGGCAGCAATGGTCTATGAGTTGCTTACAGAGCACATACATTTTTCTTAACAACAAAAGATGGCTTTGAAGAGGAGAAAGAACAATATGTGTCAAGCATATTTTTCTTTGATATCCCTTTGCCTAATGCTTTTTTGTCTTATGATTGAATTATGGCTATCATTAAATGGCTATGATTTCCAAAACAAGAAAGAGTAGAAAAGGGTGCACGTAATTGGCAACACATTGCTGTAGCTGCTGTCCTTCTTGAAGTACTGTTTGCAATTTCAGTCCCCACACCTAAAAGGGACATAGCAAAGTTAGAGAAAATATGAAGAATAAGAAATAAAATAATTAGGTAGAATGAGCTGCTTCTTTGTGAGATAGTGAATGAGCTGAAACTTGTCAAGTTGGACAGCAAATGGGTGAGGACTGAATGGGGCTCATGATAACAATGGACAAGGTGAGTTTCAGAAAATCCCATACTATTTGATCTAGTTGTCTCACAAAAAATAGAAGATTAACCTAAAAAGGATTTTTTAAGTACTTCTTTCTGTTTTTAAATAACAGTAACAAACTTCTGAAATTTACTGCCACTGGATGATCAGGAGGCTGAAGGCTTTAACGTGTTCGAAGAGGACTGGACAAATTCACTGACAGCAGGTCATAAGCAGACGCTAAAACAAATAGGTACGGATGCTCTCTCTAACATCCCTCATCCAGCAATTGTTAGATGCTGAAAAAGTACAAAGGGAACAGATCACAGAGAGTAGCCAGGTTTGCTTGCTGTTCCCAAAGAGTATCTGCTGTTCTCACTGTTGAGGATGGAATACGTAGGACAGAAAAACGAGATAAAAACTGCCATGCTGGATTAGATCACTACTAACACCATCATCTCATTCTGATTTCTATGTGCTTGTGCACAGCACAACAGGGACCTCTTTGCATCAAAACCTCATGGAATCCAAATAAACAGTAGTATAATAGGCACAAGCCTACAGAAACTATGTAACATGCTTGCTGAAGACAGAATGTGTTTCCTCATTATGTGACAAGATAATTTGTTGCTCCAATTTTATCTTTCCTTTTATATTTCTAAAGGACACATTTATACTTTTAAATAATGCATATATTCTATTGATCAGGCAATTTTAGTTAGAAGTGCTTTGAAGGAATAATGCACTATCAACCTCAGATTAGATTTAAAAAGCTAAAGCAAATGTGACCAAATAGAAAAACAGTATTTGTTTAATAACTTCCTTTTTTTTATTATTTTTTTTTATTTCCCTCTGCTGGAAATTGATACATTGCTATATGGTAATTCATCTATTTTATACTCTAATCAAAACAACATACAGACCCAAGGAAAGAAAATTACCCTCTATATAAAAGTATTAAATTAGAAGCACGTCTTTACTATGATAATCAGAAGTACTTAAAGTTGACCCCAAAGCAAAAGTAATTGGGTCTCTGCTCTTTTGTGTTTCTTAATTATTTCTGGAGGGGATACAAGAAGTTGTCATTTTTTTTTTTTTTTCTGCATTAGAAATGAAGATGTTTTCTGCTTTAGATGACTTGAGACCTGAGACTTCACAAGAGTCAAAATCAGAAGTGATTTGCAGAAGAAGGAAGGATTCTTACATTTCTTTGTGTTTGGGTCTCACATACAGTTATATAGAGCAGTAGAATAAACAGCCATGGAAAAGATAGTATGTGTTTTTATCATTATATCCAAGGTAGATAAATTCATGTGCTTATCTATGTTATCTATGAGAAACAGACACATTCTGGATTTTCCAACTAGAAATTGATAAGTCTATATACATTTATCCTCAGTTTAGCCAAGTTATTTTGAAACTTCTCAGCTGACTCTGCTAATAGCACAACAATTCTTATTAGCCCTTGTCACCAGGTTATGGGAAAAGATCACCAGGTTATGGGAAAAGCTACAAGAAGGCCTGCTGCTTGAGGCACGCTCACAAGCATATACTTTTTGAAGGAACACAGAGCATTCCTCAATGAAAGGAGTAAGTGAAAAAAACAAACAAACAAGCCCACAACAACAAAACCCAGAAAACCCTGCCATGTTCTTCTGATCCAAGTTGTGGTATAGTGTGGTATAGGATCATCATATGGAAAATAAATAAATAAATAAATAAATAAATATATGAAAAAACGTTTAGTGAATAAACAAATAATGGTCCTCTATCTGGCTATTGCATCTCCAGTGTAGTCTGAAGCAGACAATTACAAATTACTTGCATATTTGGAACTGATCAGTGGTTAGCTAGGTATTTCTATTTTCTGCTTCTTCCAGTGGAAAAACAAAACAAAACAAAACAAAACAAAACAAAACAAAACAAAAGACACTATTTTCTATTATTTTCAATTATTTTGCAAATAATTGCATCATCACCTCCAGATTCTTACATCAGGTCATCATAATGAAGTATCATAAAAATAAAAGTAAACCGTATTTGTATCTTCTTTCATCAGTGACCACTCGTTGATAAATACCTGCGGTTTGCAACAACATCTATTGAGAAGCCTAAATCTAGACTTACCAAATAGAATAATGCCCAGTATTCATAAATTAGCTAATTTTTGCTCCAAGAATAGTAAAAGCATTTCTTCTTACCCCCTAAGCAAGGGGAAAAAATGATCTTTACCCAGTAAAGTATTTTCAGCACAAGTCTAACCATAAGCACGAGTGGCGCTGTACTCATGAAATTACAGCAACAATTTAGCAAGAAATGTAGAAACACTGTATAATGTTTTTGCTTTTTTTTCCAATCGTGTTTTTCTCCCATCCTGCTAACATGTCATTTTTCTGTTCATACACTAACCTCTGATGAAATATTGAATTACACAAAGACCAGTCACACCTCTGTGCCCAATGCCTCTCCGGCACGAGACTGCTGAAACTTAACATTCCCTGAAAGATCTACTGACGTTCCCCAAGCATCCAAACGTGACACCATGCAGCACCGCAGCCCTGAGCGAGCACAAGCTCCCACCAACCTGCGGACAATACCTCCGTCTTATCACGCAGGAGGCTTTGGGGTGACCGTTGAGTGCACTCTGATTTTACAAACTGTCATATGGCGAGATAGTGGTGGGTTTCAATGCCGTCACCTATTCAGTCAGCCCAGATGAACTAGAATCACCATTTCAGTTATATCATAGCTCGGGGCGAGAACATGTCACCCTCTTTATTTCCAGCTCGGAACAAGCTGCTTAGGCAGATGCTAACTGTGGTCCTCCCTGCCATGTTCTGTAGAGTGGCCTTTGTCTGGGTTAATTGAGCCCCCACTCCATTTAATAGGCTGTTGAAGTCTTATTGAAACAGAGCTAGTGCCGCAGGTTAAATACATTGCAGTGCTCTTGTTAATCCCCTCATTAACGGAGCTGTAAAGCTTGTTGAGAGCTGTGAGTTTGCATATATTATCAGAGAGTTCTTCACTCAAGTGCTATCAATAAAATGACAAAGCCAGTTTGCAAATACTGAAATCAACAGTGACACAAAGCTAGATACCTTAAAAAAATAAACAAGTTAATAACTGATAAATCTCATTTTCACACTTGGAGAATATAAAAAAAAAAAAAAAACAGATTGAAGAATCTCTTTTTTTTTGGATGAACTTAAAGCACGAATTATACAAACATGATTGCTTTCTGTATGCAAAGAACACAAGCAAGAAAAATACCACTTCTTCAACAGGGGCTTCTGACTGAAGTTGGGCGGTAGCTGCTGAGAAACAATTTAATGAGCCAAGAACAGACTAAAAGCACTTTGTAAGCCCAAAGAAAATGAATGAATTCACAACACAAATTAAGAAGTGAACTTAGAGATAAAATACCATGAACATATAAAGAAAGCCTTCTATGATCTCCAAAGGAAAAGGAATAACAGTGGGCCTTGAGGAAGGTTAGGAGAAGTCTTCAGCAAATCAGGGCTCTCTCACACCTGCCAAGAGGGGAGACATGAGATAGGCTTCCCTCTAGTATGTGTATGGTGGAATATAGCTGACTGTCCATCAGCAAAAAAATAGGAATACAGAACTCTTCTCTGAGACACAAGGGAAATCTGAGGACTCCGAGCTGGAGAGGCAACCAATAAAAGCAGAACTGTCTGGAGGCCAATCTCTCTGGTGCCCACATCTTAGAGTACTTCGCAGTCGTCAGGTGAAGACAACCAGCAGCCTCCCGAGTTCATGTTTTCCCTAATACCGATCTGAAGTAGTATTTTTCCTTATAATAAGAGAGCCAGAATGACTTTAAAGTATCTCTTCATGCACTGTCTCCTCCATCTTATATCTGCATGGTAGGAATGACTCTTGGCAGACCACAGTGCCATAGAGGAGGCCATAAGTAAAATGTTCTCAGTTCATGTTCATAATGTTCATATCCAATGGGGTAGTTTCTGAAACATGATACCCACAGAAGATTCCTCTATAGATAACTCCTGGAAGTTCATTTTCTAAAACATAATTTTCATGCCTTTACATGTCCATTATTTTAAAGATTCTGCTCTGATTTGCTGGCCTGTAAGGAAACTTGATCCACATTCTCTTCTTTCCTAAACAGTTGTAATTCTGATTAGGGTCTCTTTTTTAAACCCTGGAATAAAGCTCAGACAAAGTTTGCAAATCTACCTTAAAAGCCTACCTCAATGCATGCAGAACTGTAATTAGGCTGCTCAGAGACTTTAGTACAGGATACTCTCATAGGATAATGAGAACAGTGTCTTCTTAAGCTCTTTTAAAACTTTACCCTTAACACTTTCTTCTAAGAATGAATCCTATGCCCTTCCTGAACATTTTTTTTAGCTAATAAAGGCTGTATACTGACAG